GATGACGATTTACTGCACCCGGGATGTGCGTTCACGGTTTATTTACTGTCTTCATTTTTAGAGTTCTTTGATCTGAAAACGCGCTACGAAGAAAGCGACCATCTTCTAGTTCGCTCAGTCCGCTTCGTAACTGACAAAATTTCTGACCTCTTTGGTAATTGCCATGTGTCATTCAGTACTAACAAAGCTTAATTTACTTGTGTTTGTCTATTTTATTCCCGCCCTGTTTAGAGTTATCATGTTACGCGCTCCTTTTGTAGTTCATCGAAACCTCTTTATTTTTCTGTTCTCTTTAGGCGGCAAGAGCGGTTCCAATGAGCTTCAGACAGTCCTTGATGAAATAGCTAAAATTGACAGTAATTTTACCCTGGAAAAGTTTGTTCGATATTGTCGAATGGAAGTGATCCCAAACGTACTTGAGGTAAGCGTTTGAATCCATTTAAATACTTCTGCACGACAAATCCTGATGAAATGTAAATGCAGCTTGTACCCATAGTGTGGTAACGCTAATCATCACTACGTCTGTAGTTGGGCAGCATCAGACATGCTTAGGCGAAGGAGGCATACTGGAAAGTCACACGCATGGAAATGTAGATCGTTCAAGGCAGCATTTATTTCCGCCTATACAACTCCTATTAGGGTTTCGCAAGTCACTGGTTCAGCCAAAACATTTTTTCGCGAACCACACTGAATGGTTTAAAAATTTGCGCAACTAGAGAACCTTTTCTCCAGTTTTTAGGTCAACTGCCGGCCTACTCAACTTTCTTTTTTACGGTTTCCGTGTGTGCGGCTTAGTCCATATCCCTCCTAGGACTCACAAGGACAACATAAACACTCGACCGTATCTGGCGGTCAGTAAGTCAACTTCTTAGCTCGTGCGTTTTGATTACGTCTGAAAGGTTTACATGTCTAATTGAATCGAATTCAACCAGTTACAGTGCACCAACTACATGCTATCTACCATTTACTTACGTAACCATTAAGCAAAGGAGTCGCTCGACAAACAC